GCTGGCAAGCTTCAGAGCTAGTCACTTACATAGCAGTTTTCATCTGTTAACAAAAAAGTCAATTTTAAAAGGTTAACAAGAACATATAGTTGAGAAAGTGCTTGCATATATCAGATCCCCGATTGCTTTTCTGTGAGATCTTGTTTAAAAACAGTTACAAAAAAACCTTGCTTTGCAGACACAAAATCTAAAATTGCAGGTGGTAAAAGAAAACTATCAATATACTAAAGATAATCTACTATTGTTTTGGTAGTTAATATTTATACAATCACATTCTGTGGTAAATTCAGAAAATTTGTGGTTTATTTGTATGAGGAAAAGGGTTCTTTGCTTAGAATGCCAAACTCAACTAGGAAATACTCCAAATTCATAGTGGATGCTAACTATGACATTGGAATTTTGATACAAGCAGTTGTGTATTCATATCATATGCCCTGCCACCTTCCATGCATCCATTTTAAATGTTCATAGAGAACAGATTAAAAAAGCTGGTGTTTCATCCATTTTGCTAACTAAGTCCTTTTGAAGGAAAATTAGCAACATCTGAGATAGAGCCTATGCTTCCAGACCTATTGCTTTTCTGACTGGTCTTTACCGCTGTGTTCTGGAGTCCTCCTGAAGGGGAAGGAGATAAATCCTTTCTTAAGCTATCCAATGGATGCAAAAAGAGAAAGCTTCTGGAATACAGTGTGCAGCATAAGAAGGAAAGACACAGCACATGAGGAGGAGTAAGTGAGGAGAAGAGACTTATGGGAGAATCTTGGGAAGAGCAGGATGCAGAACACCTTTCCTAGGGAACAGAGGATGGTGTGAAAGTAGGGGATAGGATTGCACCGTTAGTTGCAACCAAGGAATCTGAAAAATTGTTGCAATTAATATAACTAGAGCAGAGGCCCTGCCCTAGAAGGCTCCTGCAGAAATGGGGGAATGTTTGCCTACTTTGTGTGTCTCAGAAAAAAATTATAATTTCAATCTGAATTCCTACAAATCACATTTTCAAAGCTTTTGTGTTTTGTGGATGCTTATTTTAAAAAGATACACAGTTCCATTTCTGTTTCCATATGGGCAGTTTCATTTTGAAGTAGCATACAGGAAATTTACCATCAATTATTATTTTATATTGTAATACACAACAAGGCCTCCCTAAGAGGTGGTGCAGAATTTGGAAATATTAGAGATGTGGTTTTCCTACCTAAATATGATAATTCTGGAAATGTTCAATGCAGTTAATTCAGCCAGACAGGAAAGCTATTCCCTTTCATGTAAAGGTCTGAGACAATACTTCCCTTCTCTTTTGTGGTAGAGTGCTAGATCGTAGACCATAGCTAACATAACATCCAAGAAAGTCAGGTTGTACATGCACAAGTTCAATTAAGAGCTTGAAGAAGTTTTAAAACCACCTCAGTTTTTCAGAAAAAAAGATAAAAGATAATATAATGCTTTTGCCTAGGAGACTAGCTTTCACCTTTTTAGGTGTTTCTTCTTAACTGAAAAGCAAATACGCAGGAAAAAAAGAGAGTAGTGTAACTTTATATAACAATTGAAAAATATACAGTAATGTCTTTCAGTTCTTGTCCAAAGAAAAAAAGACAGTATTTAGGTTTTTTTCTCCAGAAACTTTGCTGCAGTATCAAATAAAACCTGTTTTGAATTGCATGAAAGTCCCCAAACATACCATCTTGCATTTTAACCTTTGTACAACAAAAACAGCGATATAACAATTCTCCATGTGTGTATGAACAGACTGCCAAGTTTGTCAGAAATAAGCTAACTCATCTGATGTACTATTATCACTTTAAAAAACCCCAAAAGTGCTAGAATATGAACACAGAGGTCACAATCTACTTTATAAACAGAATAGTTTCTGTTCCACTACTCTGACTTAAAATAACATACTAGATAATTTAAAGAAAGCGCTATGAGTTTTAATCACCTCAAGTATATATAAAAGATCTTACTAGCCCTGAGTTACTGCTCAGTGTGGACACAATAGCTGTGGAAAACCTTAATAACGATAAGGGTCTCAATGGTCTTTGGTTACTATATGAAGATAAAAGAGCTAATTTATTACCTCAAACTCTGAAAGATGGTTAATTCAACCGCTCATACCTTAGCAACAGCTGTTATCTGCTCCAGTGCCACAGCATGAAGATCTTGATCTTTGCTTTCCACCAGCAGTTTCAGGGATGGCAGCAGGAGGGACTGGTTAAGCAGCAGCAAACATAGTTCTTTTGTACACTGAAAATAAAAGTAAACTCGTTTGGTGAGATGTCTGGAGATACTAATGTCATCATTCACACTAAAATTTATGAAAATTCTATGTCAAATGCAAAACGAAAACCAACTTTTGAAACAAATGAACTCCCTGTTGGAAATAACTCTTCAGAAACTGGAAAGAACAAATTTTTAAAAAATGTGCAATAGTGGGTTATAAGTGCAACGTTTGTTATATTAAGACAAGGCAGGTACTGAATCACCATTACAACCTGGAGTTTTACTGAAAGAACAATAGAGCAATCACAGCTCTCTGTGGGACTAATGTATTTGTGCTTACTGAAATACTGCAAAGCACAGGAAGAAACTTAACAGACACCCATGACATTTCTGTAACTCAATTATGCAATCATAAAAATGGAACAAAATAAAGAGAGAATAACAATACATACCTGAGTTCAACATTATAAAGCTCTGTTGCAAAAATATCTTCAAATTTTACACAAATTTTCATACACAATTAAAGCTTAGCAAATTAACTTTCCCTCATTTATCTAATTTGTCATATTTTATAAGATAGCATAAATTTAGCATCATAAATCTTCTGTAAGAAGAAACTGGCCAGAGAAGTATCTTAAAAACAAACAAACAACAAACCTACTGTGCATTTCCAAATCTTTACCTTGGCTTTTAGTTAAAAATAAATAAATAAATAAAAATCTCCTACATGTAACTTGTGGTTTTGTTTTTCCTCAACATTGCAGCGATTTATTAATTTATACTTCAAAAAGTATTTCAACTAACAAATTATGTTATAAATCAAATTATAACTTCCCTTTCCCTTTTTGTAATTTCCAAGAATTTTGGTCATTTGCCACAACCACTTCCCAATGATGCCCGTTGTCCTGGTTTTGGCTGGGATAGAGTTGAATTTCTTCCTAGTGCTGTGTTTTGATTTAGTATGAGAAGAACGTTGATAACACACTGATGTTTTCAATTAAAAAAAAAAAAAAAAAAAAGCAGCAATGTGAGGGAGCATAGCCAGGGACAGCTGGCCCAGCTGGCCAACGGGGTATTCCATACCATGTGACGTCATGCTCAGTATATGAATGGTAGGCGTGGTCCGGGAAGTAGCGTCGCTACATGGTTATCAGTCAGCATGGGTGGTGAGCAATTGCTCAAAAGATGTCCCATATTCCAGGACAACTTACACTAAGTGCTCTGGGTATTGTATGATAATCACCTTGAAAATGGTAACCAGCGCTTAGAGGTGCTCTCTGTTTCACTCCAACATTCAGAGAGCAATTGTCAAAGGAGCTCATCAGCTAAATATTAAGTTGAGAGAATGCAAATCATGTATTTTTTTACATCTTTTGCTCAGTCTTTTCTAAATTCATACCTTCAAGAAACACTGTCTAGAAGGATATATTCTATCACACTGAGCTCTGAGTCACAGAGACAAGGCTTGTTCCCCTACCCAGACTTGTTCCTCTAAATTTGTATTCTGTATTGGTACCGATGATGTTTTTGGTGAAGGATATGATATAGGATCAAGGAATAAGAAGATCAAATAAATATGTTAAGCTATGTCTGATCAGTCGTATGCTTATTAAACTTCTGATAATTTCATATTCCATTGTATTTCTTTTGAGCTGCCATACCAGCAAACTTACTGAATGCAAAGTTATTCACATTACAGGTCTCCTTTTCTTGAAAAGGTGTATCCATGGCAATAAATGCAGCTTATGTTCAGAAAAATAAATTCTGAATCATAAGATACATAACCTGAACAAAACAGTAACTTTACCATACTTGCTTTTTCTGTCTGAAAGCCTCCCAAAACTAAACAGAGAAGTAGTGTCACAAGAAATAATTCATATTATAAAAAGGCTCTCTAAAAGAACCTCAAATCATATTTTGGGGTTGTAGAGGAAGGAAAGGAGACTAAGCAAATTGTAAAATGTAACTAGGTACTGTACATTTTTAAAGCAACAGGGCAGAGACAGAAAAGATGCAGATGTTGAATCAGTTTTCTGTCTCAATGAGCCGCTTTAAAAGAAAAGAAAAATTTTATCTCTCAGCAAGCAAATGCAGTAATACAGATATTAGCATTGCTATTTTCAAAGCAGTAACATTTAACTCAGATGATATGTCAGCATTTTGTTTTCTTCTTAGATGCTTTACAATTATACTCTAGTACTGGTTACACATTCCACTGGGACATGTTCTAACACAATCTGCTTTGTTCATCACAGAGGCATAAAGGCCTCCACATAAGAAAACACATGCTTAGCTATCCAATTAACTTCTGTTTATCTTACATTAGCAGATCTTGAAGCCAAATGCCATTAGATTTCAGGTAGGTACCACTCAGATGACTTGATTAACTTTGTGCCTGATTATAATATGTCTAGCAGATATATCCAGTCTTACCTACAAAATCCATCATCTCTCTTGAAGGAGAAGTATACATTCCAACAATTGATTTTACTCACTGTTAAAATATCATGCCTTATGCTAAAAATTGAAATGGTACAAATTAAACTCAATTGGTTCTTGTACAGAAATACGTTCCTAAAAGCCCCTGCAACAGGTTAAGAATAAGGCCATCACTATGGCATATTTTAAGTTTAGCAACACTTTGAAAATGTGACATGAAACACTGTCAGAGGCACCAAGGAAATAAGGTGTAGGATAGAGTGGTCCAACTTGCAAACCCTTGGAGTTGCCTCCATCCCTTTTCCCACAGGAAGGGAGTGGACAACGTGCCAAGCAGACTGCCTAAATAGTACAAACACCTCCTTGTACGTCTGCCACAAATGATGGCACTGCTGCCCTGGGCAGCAATTGGAAATCCAACCCTAAGCAGCAAGCCACCACTCACAGCACTTCTCAGAGCAACACAAGTGGCTCTTCTTTTCTGCAATAAGCACTCGAAAGCATTTTGAGTGTCTGCCTGCCTGCACTGAGGGGCTGCGCTTTAGAGGGGGTATGATATTATCTGTGAGAAGTAACCAAAATCTGGATTTAGCTGAAACTTTTGTAAGATAACTTTTGCCTTCTGTCTAGTTATGCAGCTATCAATGGTTCACTGTAACACCAGTGAGGCATATAAAATGGATTTCATAGGAGTCTGTTTTGGGTTCAGTATTATTCAGTATTTTCATGGATGGCTTGAAGGGCTGGATAATGAGTACAAACACTATTGTGCCTGGAGAGGCTGAACGCAGACCAAAGGGCAGCATTTAAATTCAAAATTATCTGAACAAAATGATCAGAGACAACTGTGAATGAAGAAAAACATACAATGTAAACTCATATATAAAAAACAGGAACAACTAGCTACAGAAATAGAAAAAAGGAGACCAACTGGCTGCTATATAATTCTAGGAGATAAGCATCTTATGGCCACTAGGACCCCCGGGTGATTACAGGTAAGAGACTAGATGCATTCTCCCATTTAGGTGTTTATGTTAACTGACACGTGACCCACAGGTTGATAGAAAAACATGAGATATTCAGAGGAGTCACACTTTTAACACTTACTGGGGGGAGAAGGATTTGCCCCTTTCTAAAGAGATTAATCAGGCAGTGCAGGAGATGTCAAACAGTCCAAACAAATATGCATTCCAAGCAAATAAAACAATGCTTATTTCAACTAAGAGGAATGGAAAAATCTACCCACTGAATGATGCAAATAACCCCTCTCCCCGCACCCCCTCCCCCAGATACAAAGAGTAAAGCTATGCAACTCCCCAGAAGACATTAAAAAAGAACTTGGCTGTAAAAAAAACTAGAAAGACCAGCAGGAGGTGGAATAAAAGAAGAGAGAAACATCTGAGGAAACAGTTTTTCTAACTTCTACACCATCACGACTTGAAGTTAAATGTTTTTTCCATCACAATCTTTGGACTTTAGAATGGCAAATGTTATTCATGGTGATAAATTGATACCTCAGTTTCTAGAATTCCATCATTCTAGGTCTGTCTTCTTAATCAGTGTATTTATTGAAATGTGAAGTCACCTAAACAGGTTAATTGTCAGTAATCAGATGTTCATCTTATTCAGCCATGTGATCTCAACTCTCTAATTTGTGCGCTTAAGTACCGTAGCCGTGCATACAAATAAATTACTTAAATTTATCCATGTCATTCCCCCTCTTCCCAAGTAGAGACTTAAAGCAATACAGCCTGTGTTTGTAGGTAACTGTACAACTACACATTTTAGTGCAACTCCTGTTGCTGTACAGCATTCTAGTCTTAAAAAAGGTATTTTACATTGGTAAAGCTATTTTATGTTTGAGGACCAGAATATCTTCATACCATATCTGTAAATTCACACCTACACAGAGGGCTCTTCCAACATCCTGCACCATTAAAAAAAGCAGGCACCTCCAACCAAAGCTGGCAACCAATACCAAAACTGTGTATAAATAAGGACTTGTTATGGAATTCAAGAAAAAGTTTACGCAATTAAGAGAATTGAGCAAACCATGACCATTCTTGAGCAGAACTCTTGGTGAACTGACTGCTGTACAACACTGACCTTCGGTGGGATTTGTCTTCCTAGTCCACTGAGGCACAGTTAGAAAATTCTACTTTGACAAAGTTTGACTACTCCTGTGCATGAGTAAGATCATGAGTTTACAAGCTATGATGCACCATTCAATGCCTTGTAAAGAAAAGCCACATATACTTACGCCAGTCCCAGATATAGGGAGACCTGCCTTCCACCAAAATTTTTGGCGGAATGAATGAATGAATATATGTATTTATCATTTCAGCTTACTGACACCTTCTGGAATCATGTTTTACATAGATTTTGAACTTGACTCAAATCAGTCTGTTTGAATATTTAAAAAAACCACACTACACCTGTCTGTATTTTAAGCAGAATGTGTTGTTTCTATTCTGCTTCTAGTCTTAACGTCAGCTGTTTTCTATAACAGACTGTGATTGCATGAAGATGATGATAAGGGATTAATCAGCCTGCTAAAAATATGCACATGACTAAAGTTCTGTGAA